TGTATGGCCGGCAGGAGGTGTTTTCGTAAGGAGATTTCGATACTCGTGCTGGAAGAAGTCGAGCTTAGTTGGATTAAGTTTGATGCCACCTCGGGTGAACTTGTAAGTCAACTGATCGATAATTAGCACACGTGTCATGCAATATTGACAGTCTGCATCAGCTTTTAGAAACAAACTTACGTTTTCGGCAACATCGCTGAGAGTTCTCGGTGTCTTCGCATCTCTCTTCGTAGACGCACCTAGGTTGGCAAGCCACGCCTGTAGAGCCATAGGAAAGACGTTCTGGTCCATATACGTAGACAGGTCGACGCTGCTATCACGCTTGCTAAGCTTAGATCCGTTGTTGCTAACGAGAAGGCCCAGGTGAGCAAAGGTCGGGGGCTCCCAGCCGAAAGCTTCATAGAGGGCCAGATGCTTGGGTGTTGATATTAGCCATTCCTATGCAGATGTAAGTAAATATCGCAGGATTTCAAACCATGAGGATACCTACTTCACCACGGATGACATGCGTGATCTTCATTAAATGGTCATCAACTACATTGGCAAGATGGTACGTTGGATACCCGTCCCTTTTCATGAGAACAAAGTCCTCCTCGGGCTCTTTCTTCTGAAAAGGCCCGTAGATCGCATCCTTGAACTTGGGTGTGCCGAAGCGAGTAGAGTCAAGCCGAACGATATGGGCTTCGCCCTTGGCGGCTCGCTCGTCGGACTCAGAGCGTGGCAGAGTACGACATGTGCCGGGGTAAGCCGTAGATTTGCCAGCTTCATGAAGAGCCCGCTTCTGGGCTTCAAGGACGGTTTGGTCACAGAAGCAACGATAGGCAGAGCCATTTTCGAGCAAGGTCTGCGTGTGTTCTTTATAGGTCTCTAGACGTTCCGACTGATTATTGGATCAGTACTAGGTGAGGGCGATAAAGTCAAGGGGAGCTTACTTGTCGATAGGGGCCGAATGGGCCTCCTTTGTCAGGACCTTCACTCCATTCGAGCCCGGCCCATTCGAGATCTTTGAAGATTCTTTCTTCAGCATCAGGCACCAACCGATTCTTAGATAATTAGCATGTGTGATTGCAAACCGAAGTCTTGCACATCAAAAGACTTACTTGATCAGTATCTTCAATTCTAATAATGAAATCACCGCCTTCTGTAGCCTTGGCCACCAAATTGTTGAACAATGCGGTCCTCAAAGAGCCGAGGTGTAGATATCCAGTAGGTGACGGTGCAAAACGTGTACGGATTGGCTTGTCGGCTGATTGTCCAAGGATATATCGCTGATTTGTTTCTCCCCCTTTGACCTTGGTCTCCTTGTTCCCAACATTCTGATCACGCTTTTTCAGAGCCGCCAGTCTCGACGGTTTCTTAATGGGTCGACCGTGTTTTCCTCCTTGTTCATTGAATTCTTCTGAAGGACTTCGAGAAGCCTTGTTTGCTATATCAGAATGTTGAACATGTTGACGACCAACAGAGCTTGTGAAGTTACGACGAGCAAGAAGAGGTATTGGATGATACAAAACCCGATATTGCATAAGGTTTCCTGAAAGCCTTATCGGGTGGCTTAACAAGGGCCTCATATTGAAAATGTGCCTCTCATGACAAGCTTAGTACTAAACGAGTGTGAGTGAGGAAACCAGTCTCATGAGATTGTGGAACGAATCGTGGCGGTGCATGGCGAGTCAGACAGAGCAGTCCGCCACACTCTGGCTGCTTGTCTCGTAGCCTGCGATAAGAGTCAAAATTTCTTATCAGTGGACATGAGAGACCCTGAAGTTTTGATCGCATCGTTAGGTAGGTACCTTACCTAGACAATGGAGGGGTAGATAATAAGAGACATGAGAAACTGTTTGTTTCATGTATCAAAGGTGCAATGAATCCAATACTGGATTGAATTCATATGGACTAAAAAGACCTTTATCGGCTCTGCTGAAGCTAATTTTACTTGCAACAAGCAAACAGAATCGGATTTGCTATCAGAATTGGAATGCCAGGCGTCAACGAACATGACGCAGGCAAAGAAAGTCAAGTTCAAACTGAGACAACTTGTATGATAAGAACAGGTTCTGCATTTGAGAGTTATAACATCAGAAAACGTCAAGCTGAGAGTGTATTTATTATCAAGACAAGACTCTCTTGACTTGTACTGTTTTGTTTGACTGACATACTTCCATTGCTTTTGGTATTGGATCTTTTCTCTTTTCTTCTTTTCCTTACGTACCCCGCGCTCCAAATCCGCGCCAAAAGATTTTCTACGGGCCCCTGCTCTGCTCTTGCACTCAGCCAACAGAGTTGATCGACGGAGCGGACCAATTCTTCATCCTGCATTACATTACAGTACCTACAGTACAGCATAAGTACTGTAGCCTACCTACCTACTAATTTTGCTGTACCTACCTTGCTTCATCTCCGGTTTTCAAGATGGATGAGAACCCTTTCAACGCGGGCGCTCCTGGCGCCGAGGAGATCGATCTCTATGGTACGTACAAAAAGCCAAGTTTATTATTCCAGCCACTCGTTCGTTATCGCCAAATTTGTGGTGGTTGATAAGCAAGGCCTGCCTGGCTAACCAACTCGACTGCTAGAACTCCTCGAGATCGACAGAACTGCCACACCAGATCAGATCAAGAAGGCTTACCGCAAGGTATGTGATCGCGGATGGTTACACAGATCGTACAGCATTTTCTTACAAATTCGAAATAGGCCGCCCTGAAGTACCACCCAGACAAGGTCGCCGAGGAGCATCGAGAAGAATCCGAAGCCAAGTTCAAGGAAGTCACGCAAGCCTACGAAATTCTCAGCGATGAGCAGAAGCGCGAGCTCTACGATGTTCACGGAATGGCCGCCTTCGACAAGTCCCGAGGCGGTCCTGGTGGTCCTGAGGTCGACCTCAACGATATACTCTCCCAGATGTTTGGCTTTGGCATGGGTCCCGGTGGCCCTGGAGGCCCCGGAGGCCCCGGCGGCGCTCGCCGACCTAGACGTGGTCCTGACGAGGAGCAAGAGTACAAGGTGACGCTCGAGGAGCTTTACCGTGGCAAGACTGTCAAGTTTGCTGCCAACAAGCAGGTACTTTGCGGCCAGTGCAAGGGCTCTGGCGGCAAAGAGAAGGCCAAGTCTGCTTCCTGCGAGCGCTGCAAGGGTAATGGTATCGTTGAGGCCTTCCGTCAGATAGGGCCTGGTATGATGCGCCGTGAGACCGTTATTTGCGATCACTGCCAAGGTGCCGGTCAGGTCTTCAAAGAGAAGGACCGATGCAAGAAGTGCAAAGGCAAGCGAACAACACAAGAGAAGAAAGTTCTCGAGATCTACATCCCCAGAGGCTCCATGCAGGGCGAGCGTATTGTCCTGGAGGGTGAAGCCGATCAGTACCCAGACCAAACGCCTGGCGATATCGTCTTCACACTAGTGGAAGAACCCCATGATGTCTTCACCCGCATTGGACATGATCTGTCTGCTGAACTGACTGTATCACTTGGGGAGGCTCTTTCAGGTTTCTCACGAACAGTATTCAAGCATCTCGATGGACGTGGCATTCACATCGAGCGACCTCAAGGCAAGATCCTGCGACCAGGTGACTGCCTCAAGGTTCCCGGCGAGGGCATGCCTATGAAGCGTGGCGAGACCAAGGGTGACCTCTACCTGATTGTCAAGGTCGAGTTCCCTGAGGATGGCTGGCTGAAGAGCGAATCGGAGTACCAGACACTGCAAAAGATGCTGCCTCCTCCTCCTGCGAACATTGAAGCTGAGGAAGTTGATGAGGTCGAGTATGAGGACGATGCTGACATCGAGAAGGTAAGCATATTTCCTTGTGGCTGAGCTTGAAGCCAGTAGCTAATTCGGTGACAGATGGGTGAGAACTCGGGTGATGGCCGATTCGGTGGTGACTGGGAGGATGACGAGGACGATATGGGCGAAGGCCAAGCTCAGTGCCAGACCCAGTGATCGGTGATATCTCTGCATCGACGAAGATGGAAGATTCTTAGAGACGTGAAGTTTCTGGTCTGGATTAACGAAGTGATGACTATCTCACGATCAGGGGCAGGCTCGCAGCCATGGCGATGGCGGTGCTAGGGCAACAGGTTTATCAGTATCAGGGCCAAAGTCAGAGGCTTCCAGGATGATATCAAAAGGAGAGACGGCTGAAGACTAGTTCATTTTGGAAAGGAAAATCCAAAAAAGGTGTCATATCATGACAGACCATACACACCGAACCACACCACTCTTGGGTTTAAAGAAGGAACAGGTCTCGGTCTCGAAGGCCGAGAGATTCCGTTGCAGGAGATACATGATAGATAGACTCGTGCATAAACATATTGTAGAGGCTTGAACTTTGAATTTATGTAATTAATTAATTGGTGAGATGTTGTGTTGTGTTGTGTTGTGTAGTGTAATTGTGAGCGAGAACAAAGGAGAGTGAGAGACAGAGCGAAGTGAAGTCGGGCTAAGGCGGGAAATTGCATCGTAGAGGTTGAGCTCGATAAAGGTACCTTACTTCAATTCAAAGTGGACCCACCACCTCTTTGGGCTGCTTTAGTCGAATCAACTTACACCAAACAATTCCAAAGTTGATCACTTCCTTTACGTTGACAAGTAGATGAGCGCCAATCTCTATAGGGGCTGATTCTAATGACAGGCTTTGACTCTTACGGGAATTTTCTATCCACACCTAAAGCATCCGATCGGATATGCTACTAACGCACTCACCTCAATCAACAGCCAACTGGTGTATGAGAGCAACGAGTTCTCCCTTATCTTCCACTGCCCAACTCTTTATAGTAAGGCATCTTGAACAACATATCTTATTCAGAGTTTCGGGCTTGAACACGGTTCATATATATATATATATATATATTAGTACTTAAAACCATGCGTATCGAGGAATCTGTCTCACAATCGTGTCTATCTAGACCCACCCCCGCCATTTGACGTAATCCCGAACCTCCACCATCAACACCAACCTTGCCTTACTTTACTTTACTCCTCCAACAATCTCATCACAAACTTCCAAAATGTCACGCAAAGGCGTAGGCCTTGCGGCCTTTGACCGCTCACGCCTCACATCAGCGCAATTCGCATCTCATGGCTCCTCTCTGCGCGCCAACAACGCCCAAGCTCTCGAAACGCAGCTCGCCGTGTTCCGCTCCCTCCTCCAGCAGTTCGCAAACACGCACGCTCGCGATATCCGCTCCGATCCCGCTTTTCGCGCCCAATTTGCTCGCATGTGTGCTGCCATCGGTGTAGATCCACTAGCGAGCAGTAATAGCAACAGTAGCTCGGATGGAAGCTCTATATGGGCGCAGTTACTCGGAAAGACGGTCAACGATTTCTACTTTGAGCTCGCTGTGAGGATTGTCGAGGTTTGCGGCGCCACGCGCGGGGAGAATGGAGGTCTTATCGGTCTAGCAGAGCTGAGAGAGCGGGTCGCCGCAGGACGTATGGATGGCGCTGATCCCATTGCTGACGATGATGTCAGGCGCGCTGTACAGACGCTTGCTCCGCTAGGCGGTGCGTATGCTGTCGTGCGTGTAGGTCGAAAGGAGTATGTGCGGAGCGTACCCCGTGAACTCAACGATGACCAAGTCTCGGTCGTTGAGGCGGCGCAAGTCCTGGGTTATGTGAGTGTCAGTATGCTGAGGGATAACCTGGGCTGGGATAGGGCACGCGCCCGAACCGTGATAGACGATCTCGTTGCGGGCGGCATGCTATGGGTTGATAAGCAAACAAAGGGCGAGTGGGAATACTGGAGCCCTGGGTTTATGGCCGAGGCAACTGCTCCTGATCAAGGCGACTGAAGCACCCCAAGGCACTGACTTCTCCCCTATACAAAGTGTCCCGAAACGCGGCAGGCCATACGACTATTGTGGCAAAGCAGAAGCCCCGACCGCGGATCTCATAAGACAAAGCGAGAGTGCTTGAAACTCATGAGACGCCCGCCTGTCTTGTTTTGGTACCCCATGCAGTCAGGCTACCAGACTGATACATCGAGCCTCCACTCACTTCACATGCCATGGTGAGTTCACCAGTTGAATAATACTTCGCATCCGCAAATAGTCCCGACACAAAAGTCCGAAGCCACCATCAAGAATTTCCAGGCATTATGTCATGATATCATGCGGGAGACGCGAAGAGCCCTTCCGAAATGATAGGCCTCAAGGCCTTTCGCTCAAAGTTCTAGACAGATAGATGTCACTCACGTATCGGGGTTCTTATTCACATATCCTCAAATTAGGCTCTAACAGGCCGACCAGGTAACTCTACTATAGAAGATGTATAAAAAAGATAAAAATACTAGTTCATTTCATTAACCAGCAACTCGCACATACAAACATACATCTTACCACTTCCCCTCCACATTGCCCTTATCCTTAACCAGAAATTCTCTTGTAGATACATGTTCAACAGCCTGAGTTCAGGACGGGCACCGGTCCAACTCACCCCCTCATCTCGGGTATATACTTGTCAAGCGACACGACCCATCCGAGCATGGGTTTCAACATCATCCACCCATCGCCAAGAAGTCAATGTTGATTCACTCCTTCGTCACTAGGTTTTCCTCCTCTTTAGATGCTGTAGCCGTTCCTAATGCCATCCATCTCCTACCTGTCCTCATTGGCGTGGCTGAGCTCGGATCGGCGCTTGAGATGGAGTCGCTTAGTAGGGAGGGTTGGGGCCACCCATGCCAGGAGGAGGGTAGTCATCGGGGCGGCCTGGTCGCATATCACCAGCGTTGGATCGACGGTCATCACCGAAGTGCTTCTTGCGGAGAGCTGCGAGACGCTTCTTCTTGGTGATGGTGTTGATGTAGGTGCCGATGATGAAGGACACGATGTTGAAGAAGGGGACCCAGAGCTGGTCAGGGAGGAACTTCTGAGCAAAAGCCAGGCAGATAGGCGAGGTGATCCACGAGACCCGCATCACCTTCCAGAAGCCGACCTTGACGGTAGCACGAACCTGATGGTAGGTGCGAGCGCCGGCAATGAGAGCCATAGCAACGAGATAGACGCTGTTCTGGATAGGAGCGATCTAGGGGCTGTGTTAGCGACTGATGGTACAAAACTGGGTCCTTCAAATCTCGCTCAAGTTGCGTTCCCAAGTTTTCTCCGAACATGAGCGCACTTCAATCGTCTCACTTGCAACTTGATCGTACAGGTTTGTTCTGTCAAGCCATCGATCTCTGCCTCTACATGCGCGCGAGCTAGACAATCAAGGAATGTTGCTTATAACTTACAATGAGATTGCTGACAAGAATCTGCAGAATCTTGGCGCGCAGGCTGGTACGGCCCTTGAAAGCCTTCTGGAGCGCCCAGATAAGGAAATGGCCTAGGGGAGCGCTGATGAGAGCACCATATGCGGCCATCTTGGGAACACGAGCAGTGAAGTAGTTGCCGTGCTTGTTGCGGTCCTTGGCGAGCCATGAAGCGACGAGCTCCTGTGTACCAGCAAGAGTACCAGCGGTGAGCATCTTGGTGCGCAGAGGATTATCCTCAAGCTCTTTGATATAAGCCTACAAAGTCGTCAGTCATGATCAATGTCGTTTCCTTCCAGGATCTTGCAGAGCCATAGCATCATAGCTTGGGGAAGTAGCTTATGCGCATTCTAGCTCCCAACATCCTGAGCAGGTCAGATCGGGTCTCTAACGTACCGCCAGATAACCCTTAGTACCAGCATTCTTCATACCACCAGTCAGAGCTGTACCGATCACAGCAGAGACGGGGTGGTGGCCCTTTGTGCCGGGGATCTTGCCAGCCTCGGCCTGGTCAAGCATGTCGCCCATCTTTTCAGTGGCATCGTGGACCTTTTCCGACACCTTGGTGACGGTTTCACTCTTGAAGTCAACCATGCTTGCTATTATTCGGCTATATGGCGGCGATGGTGAAGGGTATGATTAAGGGAGAAGCGCGTTCTAGTTCGAGGTCCAGATAAGAATATTATTTTGATCCGACTGAGGGTAAATTGCTCCAGGTTGAATGATGCCCTTGATCTGTTGGATCTTGGTTTGTGCTCACGGCGCGCTATGTCCTTCTTCGTCGTCGTGATCGTCCTCGTCGGATATTATCGTCAAAGTCAACACGGCCGCGACGGCGTCATCAACGGGTCGAGTCAAGGGTCAGACGCGCAAGAGAGACTTTGATCGAAGCGTCAGTGAGGATGTTCAAAATTAACAGGTGGGGTCTAACGATCGCAGATCGTTATTGACATGGGGATGAGGGAATGTGCGCGCTTGGTCGCTCAACAACAGCAGCTGGACATGACAATGGACGACAGGAGACAGGACTAGACAAGATGGTGAGAGAATATTGGAAGGCAAGGATTGAGGTGGGTCAGAGTCAATTGAGGTTCTCGTGAGGTATCTAGCCAATGGCTTTGTTTACTCGAGCAACAACAAGACCAAGACCAGAGAGGTTGAGGGAAGCGCCGCAAGCCGATGATAACGGGTGATGGAAGGTGATGGATGCTGTTGTTGTTGTTGACGTGGAGATCCAGCTCATCCCGGTCCAGGGTAATCGAAACAGAGACAGAGAGGAGAGAAAATAAACTTACAAGCGCCGGTGCCGAAGGATGATGATGGTGGTGATGATGATAAGTTGAAGATGGTGAGATGGGGGAGACAGACGTGGAAGTGAGTGGAGCGTAGCGGTTGGGTTGGGTTGGTGTTGGTGTTGATTTGTTTGTCTCAGGCCTTTGGTGCTAAGGATGGATGGAGGTAACCGATCTGGGGGGGGCCTTGGGGGAGGAGTGCGTGCGTGCTGAACCGGGCTGGAGTGGACTTTGACTGGGAGATGAGATTGATGGGCGAGGAAGAGAAGTCAAGTCAAGTCAAGCTCAGCTCACTCCAGACGCTTGAGCTGCAACAAGACAGGGGCAACGTCCAAAGACGGTGGCTGGGACAAGTAGAGTTCGTGTACCGTTGCAGCATGGCGCATAGCTAAAAAATACTCAATCGATACATTTAATCTGCCCAGTCCACAATGCCTCGGCCCGCTGTAAATAACAACAATCGAGCCAACCAAATCTCTCAAAACAAAACAGTGTTTACCCCTGGTAAAATGGGTGCCTCCATTCGGCAGCTTCAGCTACCGCGGCTCCAGCTCCCAAATTGGCGAGCTTGCGTGCTGACATCCACTCAGACCGACAGAATCCACCAGCTTCCTCTTGTGTACAGCAACCCACTCGATAGAGCTCCCCAGGCATTGAATGGCTAGGGGAGGAAAGAAAACACAGGCCCCTGACCCTAAGTAATAAAAATATTTAGGTAAACCTAGCCTAAGTTTAGGGTGCCCTTTACTAAGTCTATTTTGACACCCTATATCAAGGTCCGGTGTTTTCTTGCTCCCCGAGGAATGGCCAGGTATCTATTTCAGCCACAAGTATCCTCGCTTCCTCTCCCACTGCCACTTCGGCTGTCTTCTCTAGACCTCGGCCTCCTCCCATATTCTCGACCACGAAACATGAATGAATACCTTCATGTACTATCTGCACCCCTATCCTCACTCGCTTGTTCTGCACGACACCACATAATACTACCGACCTGGCCTAACCTCTTTGGCCTCTTCGGTAATCATGGCTGGGACGTGTTGGAAAAAGAGTGGCTGGGTCAATCACTTTGCATACAGAGAGCCACCACTCACTCCATGCTCATACAGGGATCCCTTCACGTGAAAATGGCTCCTCCGACATCCGGAATCTTCTCGCTATAAATGATGATGTATGTGTATATATATGTATGCAAATACTTCTTATCAACAGAGGCGCCCTCTGTAAACTACCTAGGTCCCAAGGATATGTCAAAATGCCCAAAGCACGGCCCGAGGATTCGATTCATGCCAATCCTCGCTCAATCAAAAGCCGTGCCCTTCAAACGCCTATACCTAACACAACGGACTGTCTTCGTGGACGTGTCCAGAACCAGCAATCCATATGACCCTAGATAGTCAAGTCGTTCAACGAACCAAGAAAGAGATCTCCTTTTCATACAGAGCTAGGCCTCTGGCCCAGCTGCTAAAGCCAACGATGTATTCGAAACGCCCTCGTGCTTCGATATGTTGTTTCATACGGAGCCGCGAGACCGTTGCTTTCTAGCCAACCAGTCCCCGAGCATATTGTCGAGTTGCTGTAGCTGCGTTAGTATTGCAGAATAATGTATGCCCAATGAGGCGACGATGAAAATACTCACAGTGGTAATCTCCGCTAGCTTCGCGTTCTGCTCTCTAAACATACCACTAACCACCGGATGGTCTTTGCTAACGGGCTCCACGTCTGTCTTGTCGTACACGACCATGAGAAGATCTCGAACGTGCTCACCATCGTCAAAGAAGGCACGAAGCTTCTCGTCATCCCAGCCAGGTTCTTTGGCACTTTTTGTTGAGCTACTATCCTTGGGTGTCTCGTCACCAGGCATGAGCTCTGGTGACGGTACATCGGAGGACGAGCGACCTTCTTGGGACGACGTGTCGATCTCCAGTGCTGGTGGCCGTGTTGCGTTGACAGGTGACACCTGCACCGGTGATTCTGACAGGCGATCCTTCTGGCCTTGGCCTGCCGCTGTGGATGCGTTCGGCTTGGCGGTTGCATCGAAGCTGTCAGGGAACGCTCCTGGCAGTTGTGGTCGTAGTCCACCTTCGGGCTTCTTCTCGACGGGTTGCTCAGGTGTCGTGCGGTTCGTAGGCTGAGACACATCATCCTCGTCGGAGCTTGATAGTTCATCCAGATCCATCAATGGACGAGGCTTAACTGTCTTGATTGCCCTGGGCTCGCCTCCGGTGCTTGCGCTGCGGCCCAACGCCTTCGCCAATGCCTTCGTATCGTCGTGTTGTGCAGCGGCTGAGGAGGAACGTACCTTGGCCGAATCCCCACCACTTTGTGAATTTGATGGTACTTCATGTGTCTCCTGTGTCTCGGGATTGACGATCCGCATCGATGCTGGTGGCACGTTGGACACATCGTTGACCCGAGACTCGGCCAGATAAGCTGCAAGTTCCATTGTTGATGAGGTCTCCCCCTTGCCAGGAGATGCCTCAGTTCGGGGGAGTTGCTTTTGAAGTTTGCTAGTACTCCGTTGCGGTTGTCTGTCAGGTGACGCGACCTCTTCAATTGACTCGCTGTCCCGAGGCTCCGATACGATATCCATAGAGCGCTTGCCAAAAGATTCGTCATCATCGTCAACCGATTTCTTTCTGTCCTTTCTGGAAAAGAAACTTCGGATGGCGCTCGGCTTCTTTTCCTTCTCTTTCCGAGACCTATCTTGGTGCTTCTTCTTCTCCTTATCGGACATGAGCTCCTTGTCCAGCTTATCAAGACTTCCTCGGGACTTGATATCCTTGGTTGTTGAGTCCTGGGAAGGCCGAGGTTGATTGTCGTCTCGTAGTAAATTAGGCGTGAGAGTGATCTTCTTGGTCTCGACTGTTTCATCTCTAAAGAAAGAGTCGGTGTTTCTGACAGTACCATTTCGGGATCTGCTGGGGCCTTCCTGCTTGTTGTCGAATAGTATTTCCTCACTGCTTCTCGTCTCATCTTCCTCTTCCACAGTGTCGACCTTTGACGGCTCCATAGCCATTTTAACTTCTTTATTTGAACGGGGCTTGAGGGGTTCAACCCTGGCGCTCTCCTCTGATGAATCATCTTCGATGATCGATATTGTTGAAGCTGGATCTCGATCTTTCTTTTGTTCTTGTTGTTCTTGCTTTGCTGTAGTGGTCGAGCCGGCGAATAAATCGTCCAAGTCTTCTTCATCGGACGAATAGTCGTCGATCTCAGTGTAGTCATGGTACGTTGGGGAAGTGAATGTGACCGTTTTGCGTCCAAATCTAATTGGCGACTTGAACGTCTGTTGCTTCTTCTCCGCCGTATCCCCCAACATAGTTGCAGAGAGCTGCATTGGGTTTTAGTAACAGTTTTGGGTGAAAGACGAAGTCAGTTTACATACATCGACGTTCCTGTGTTTATTCAGACGTGCTAGACGTTCTGTTGGCGTCTCAATATGCTCTGCGGGTAGATATCCTGGTATTTCGTTAGTCACTAGCCAGTGGAAGCAGAAATCTTTGCACTTACCAATGCTGCTGTCTTTAACAACTCTGACTAGCCACCAGTAGCTGTTACTATCGTCTAGCAAAACCATAGTGTCACCTTTGGTGGCATTTGCTTGACCTTCAACGGTAGCCACGAAAGTGTGAAGCGCGTAAACGAACTCGAAATCAATGTCCTCTATGTCTTGTAAGCACTCAACCGTCCAGCCGGAGTCAATGAAATTGTAGTCGTCAGGAATGGAGAGTGCAGAATCATCGTCTTCAAAAGATTCTTCGTAGGGAACAGTAAGCGCGGGATCGAAGTCAGGCGTTTCGTCGTCGTCAAAATCCGAATCAGATAGATCCAGCATTGGATCACAGTCATAGAATATATCCCGCTCTCTGTTATCGACTACGGTGCCCTTTCCTCCAATACTCGATCCTTCATCAGAAGGATGCTAGCCTTCATTACTGTTGGACCTAGGCTGTGGTTCCACTTGCTCAAACGTTTCGTGAAATTCGGCCGTCGAATTGGACGTTGTCCAGCTATCGTCGGTTTCGGGTTCGGCGTCGTTACTGTGCTCGTCGCGACCGTTATACTCACCATGAAGACGATGATTCCGGACTTTTGTGAGCAATGCTCGTGAAAGCTGCGCAATTGCGCATGGGCTGGGTACACAGTTGGGGGGTTCGGGATATGGCGAACAAACTCTGGTGCCGCTTGAACCAGGGATACTCGGAGTACTACTCCTCGGCGGAGGTAGGGAAGAGACACGTCGTGGCCATGCCGCAGGGGCAGCGACGGGGTAGCACCCACCATCTTCAATCGAAGGCGAACTTGAGATCTTATCCATCATGTCGTCATCGAGGTCATCGTCGCCGTCGAGCTCGCCCTCATCCGAAGATGAGACGCCTCCATTCTGCGCAATTGCCAGTGCATCTTCTTGGTTCATATTGCTATTGTTGTCGCGTGCGCCCTGTGCGCGAGTATTCCCACTTGTAGAGTTTGCGACAAGTTCGTCTGCAAAGGAATCAATTTCGTCGAGGCTATTGCGGTTATCGAGAGAGACTCTTGGAGAGCGTCGCTGTTCGTCTGCAATGTCGTGGGTGACCTCACGAATAGTCTCAGCTTGGTGGGGACCTAGGGAGTTGGCGTTGCCGCCCAGGCGTGGGCTTTTCGAGTGGTCCTGAGCGGATGGAGAGTGATGATCTTGAAGATCGATGGTATCTGCGATCGGGGAAAAGGTTCGTCAACGTCAGTTTGTGGTGTCGTCAAAAGTAGCTTGTGGGCACAAGGAATGAGAAAGCAGAGGACTAAGTCGAGTGGTTGGAATGTATCGTGATTTGCAGCGACCCCGGAGAGCAACAGAAAGGTTCGAGCTTGGACAGTGACCGGGGGGCAAGGGTAGACGAAAGTACGATGAAACGTAAAGAAAAAGAAAGTAATAAAAAAAAGAATGGGCAAGGGAGTAGTTGGCCGAAGGTCTACCTCAAAGTTCAAGGGTTCTTGTAGTATGTATAAAGGGGGCAGGGGAAAGAAGTTGTACTCTAAGAGGGACCGACGAAACAACACGAGCATGAGGCTGCGCAAGAGGCGATGCACCCCAATCGCAAATGCCCAAGGCTGAGGCTTAGGGTGACATTGGCGTTGGCATCTCGTTCCAGGTATAAAGGCAGGACAGGACAGCAAAGGCAAAACACTAGGCACATACCGGCTCTGACGATCGATGGTCGTGTCATTTTGATGGGTAGAAACGACGAGCGAGGCCGTCAACAACAAGTCACTCTGCTCTAACTCTGTCCCTAAAGGCGCAAGGCACCAAAAGATGGGATGGGATATGCTTGACCCCTGGCGCCAGAGAAGCGCCGTCTCAATTTTTTATTTCAAACTCGGGTGTTGGAGGCTGACGGCTGGGGGCCGGGTTTTTTGTTGTTGCCTGTTTACAGCACAGTAGTCTATGCCGTTGCGTGAGAGTCGGGCGGTAGATCCTTGCGAGGATGTTCTCGTCCAACTCAGAGGTACCTGATTGCTTTATTTGTTTGTTTGCTTGCTTGCTTCGGTCGTTGGGGGCGTTGCGATATCAGGCTTTCGGTCGTGGTACTCGATTGGATTTGGTGTCGCTCAGCGTGGTGAACAAGGTTGCGCCCGTAAAAGTAAATCGATCAACCAATATGCCCAGTGGCCAGCCACGGGCTCGTCCAACATGAAGCTGTTTCTGCGCAAGTGAGTGGGAATGGATCTCGGTGTCGAAAAACTGGAGAGAACGAGCGACGATCTTTGTTCCGTGTCTGTGTGGGAAAAGGATGGCGTAGCAGTGCTGTAGGTAGTAGTAGTAGTAGTAGTAGTAATAATAATAATAATAAAGCAAACTGGCCTGGCCGGGCCCAAGTTTCGTTTCTGGCCGCCCGGGCACCAAAAAGGATTGACTCCACTGCCGCAGTGAAACTACCACTGATACTGTCACTGTCAGGCACCTCTATTGGTATGGTCACTGATTCAAGAGGAACAGGTCCAACGTTTTCCACCCTAACAATCCCTCTAGAATCTTTTAGCAAATTTTCAGTCTCCTATTCTAACCACGTAGTCCAGATGCCAAAGCCCCTAATGCACTCTGTCTATCGCAAACGGGTAATGCTAGTGCCGAGGAGGACGAGCCCGTTGAATGGAGCGTCACCCGTTTCAGACAACTCGTCCATCCAAGTCGAAAGCAGCTCGATAATCGAGTGCAAAAAGACCTACTGCACGGAAACAAAAGTGGAGGCTGCGGTCTCATGGCCGGTCTATTAGACCATCTTTAGGGCCAAGACGGGAGAGAACGATAAATAGAAGCAAAAGAAAAGAAGAGCGCGTGATGAGACTACGATACTCCCTTCTCCCTTTGAGGGCTGAGCCAGTCAGAATAAAGGACCATGATGCCAGCTGCAGCATTGCTTAAGAAGTGAGCTAAAGAAGTCATACAGCGCTGTAAAACAACGATTGCTTACCCATTAATAGTGCATTTACCTTATTTATATCAATTGCATATCACTTGCACTACCTACCTTAGTACCTACTAACATTAACTACCTTACCTTGTATAGGTACGTAGTCTCCTTTTGTGGTGGCATTTTACCTCGCCCCGATTCCGTGGCAAGGACGGGATGGAGCGCGTTTCCCATTAAAACCCCTGAATGATTAGCGGTTCCAAGAAACCGTAAACTTTGGCTCTAACGCAGCCGGGGAATCGTTCAGGGCCACCCGCGTCTCGGCGGGGCCTTTGAAACGCTGAAACGTCCACAGGCAAAATGGGTCTTGCTCAGGGGAAATTAATTGTCTTCATTGGCTGTGAGCAAATGTTGTCGTCTCTTTTCCAGCTTCAATCCACTTCATGAAAATAAGACAGTCAGTCCTTCAATTGACTTTTCAACGTCACTAAAGTCATGTAATTAAATGTCACGATACATCTGACTTTGTCAATTTCATGCTTACTCGATTTCCAGGCCGATACTTTGTGTGGCAATCACTGTAACCCTCAGTGGCCTCAAAATCACTTCCGTAGTCTGTTGTCTGTAACCTCACAAGTCAACCACACCATGAGGTATGCAGTGCAATTACCCAGCATACCATTGGATTGCACCAAAACACCGTCTTGCAGAGGAGATAACCATTCGCCTCTTAACATGTGCTTCTCTACCAACTCGACCATCTATACAGCAGGTCAGCCATACAGCCTTCGCCACGATAAAACCATTGTACATATGAGGAGCCCGTGATACGACCTCACGCATATGTATCTGCATGCAAGTTGTTGTCCCGCCAATGAACTATCAACATGAAATCAATGTGTCTACTTAACACGTGACAATGTCATGCATCTCATGTACCAGGTCCCTAGTCTAATGCGTTCTATTTCTATCACACTCAGCACGACTAATAGATCACCTTAGATCACTTTGATCAATCAGATCTTCCGAGACAATCATTTGTCTCAAAGTCTTTCCTCAGAGTGCAACAGCAGAAGCCACCAGAAACAGCACAAGTTTCACTGGATGGACTCACCAAGTAAAGTCACTGGTGGGGGAAACAAATATGAACTTCAAAATCTTGATTAATATCGACTAAATAAATATAGTCTTTTCTGACTTTTCTTTAACCTTGACCCATTCATTAGGCCCATGCCAGGGCCGTCCCAAATATGGCAAACACACCGTGACAATGCTTATCTCTCAGAGAAAACAAATAATGCTATGCTTGTAAACAAATCAAATCATACGCTTCAACACCGTTCCATGCAATCAACTTTTTTTAGTTGGCGATCTGGGCCATACGCTTAGACATACTGTTGCAATAGTTAGCATACGTTCTGATATCGTGTTGTCATGGGTTAAACTTACAAGTCGTAAAAGGCAAACTGGCTGGGGCTGCTGCCGAACTCGTACACGAATCGACTGGCAAGGTAGGAGCCGAAGATGCTTCGGAGGTAGGAGTCGGGGATGCGAGCGATCAAGGTGTCGAGACCAATCTTCTCCAGGAGAAGACGGGGCAGAGCATCTTGAAGAACAGATCGGCGGATCTTCTCGTTATCCCAGAGGTCGGAGTGCTGGAGCTTCTCATCGAGATCGGTAATGGCAACGGAGAGCTTGTCAGAGAGAATAGATCGGGGAGTTCCGGTCTGCTCGTGCTCGCGCCAGATAGCCTCAAACTCAAGACGGGCGTTCTCCTGAATCTTGAGCTGAACTTGCTTGACGTAGTCCTGGTAGAACTGAGGAGCCTCGCCCTGAGCGTTGTGGCACATGTTCTCAGCGAAGCCCTCGTCGTCGAAAGACAGAGAAGCAAGAACCTCAAGGGAGGACGATGTCACACCACCCTTGTTGGCAGAGGCATCCTTGTACAGAATGCAGCCAGCAGCCTCGAGGCGAAGCTTAGCCTCCTGGGTAATGAAGAGGTTGGCTCCCTCAACGAGGTAAGGGATGATGCACTTGCCATCCTTGATGAGACGGTTGACCGAGATGAGGTCAATGGAGGCGGGACGACCACCACAAGGGACGAAGCAGTCGACACTGCCAGTGTCACGGAGATGGAAGGTGTTACGGAACGATGTACCGTTGTTGATAGACTCGCCATTAGGGAGAGTGATGTTGACGTCGTCGCACAGGACTCGGTAACCCTCGGGAGACAGCTTGGAAACATCGTACTCGATGATCATCTTGCGGCCGTTGGCGAGGCGCAGAAGCTCGTCACGGTCGAGACCGTTGGGGTCAGCAAGAACTCCAGAGCCATCGACAATGGCAGTGTACTTCTCGTTACCAAGTTTGATCTCATTGCTGCCCAGGTCACCATCGGGGCCACCAGTCTGCATCTTGCGGATGGTGGAGGGGTCGAGCTCGAGCTTTCGGTAGATGCCCTTGACGTACTCACGAACAGACAGAGTGGTCATGCCGTAGGTGTCGTGAGGAATACCACCAAGCTTGGGAGACTTGCCAGTGAAGAAGGACTTCCACCAGGGGGCGCCACGGGATCGAGCGTGCTCAGTAGCCCAGTCGACCAGCTCAGCGGTATTCTCATCAGGGCCCATGAAAATGATCTCCTCCTTGCCGTAGAGGTCGACAATAGGGTTCTTGATGCCAGGGGTTTCGGCGGGCAGAAGAAGATCAAGGATACTATCGATGTACTTCTCGAAAGCCTCACGGGCACGGTTCTGCTGCTTAGGGTCCAATAGAATAACACCCTTGGAGCCACCCTCGGGGATGTCCTTGTTCTTGCGCTGCTGTGTGCTGGCAAGACCGTAGTTCTCATCGAAGATGCTGCGGGCGTTGATGCCGTAAGCCTCTTTGTTGCGAGACTTGACGATTCGGATGCCACCACGAGAGATATCCTTGAATCGGAGGTGGAAACCTCGAGACTCAGAGCTGATGACGAGGAACATGCCGTAGAGGGGCTTGGGGTACTCGACCTCGGGGAGGAAAGATGGGTCAAGACGGAAGCTCAGGGCGACCTTAGTAGGGGTGAAGTAGTTGGTCTTGAGGATAGCGTTGTTGAACACACGGAACGCAGTGAGGACCATCTCATCGTGCTCGTTGTTGACGTTCTTGGCGATCTTGTCCTTGAGAGCGTCGTCGGAGAGAACCTCGACGGACAGGCTGGAGGAGACAACCTTCACGGGGTCCTCCTGGTCCTTAACAAGGTGGATGTTGGCGAAAGAAGCGTAAAGAGCACGAACGAGACCGGGGTAGTTCTGAATAATCTCATAAATATACTCAGGGGTAAAGGTCTCGGATCGGAGACGGCGCTTCAGGTTAGAAAGGAGGGCCTGCTGAGCGTTGTTCTTAACATCCAGAAGCTCGGCAAGAGTGGAGTACTCTGGTCCCAATCGGTTCAGGAAGTGCTGAACGAAGACCCAAGCGGAGTGGGCGTAGACGGATTCCTGGAGGCTGAGCTGTCCATCGAGGAAAAGGTTGTGGAACTTGTTGTGGGGGAGACAGTAGAGGAGAGAAACCTCCTTGGAGATCTGGTCAATGGACTCCTCAAGAGAAGGGAACTGCCCACTGGTCTCGACGGTGTCAGAAGCAGGTCGGAGGTAGACACTCATGACGGTGATACCGTTGGAGAACTGCTCGAGGTACTTTCGAGATGAGGTGACGCCATAGTAGTGGTAAAGGTCACTGAGGGCAGAGAAAAGACCTTGGGCAGTGCGAGAGCGGAAGGCAACGACCATTCGCTTCTCATCGGTGTTCTCAATATCGAAGACCTCGATGACAGG